TAAACAGCATACATAGCTATATAAAAGAATTTATAATAATGGAGGAAAGTAGTATTTTGGTGAAATTTGTAATATTGTGTACTGTTGAATTGGAATCGACTCATGGCTGACCCTCCGGTAAGATATTCAGAGGCAGTTAATTGCATGGGAGTTGGTTGTTCATCTTTTCCCATAGAGTAGTTGGTGGATTTGAAACACATACTTTTGTGTTGGCAGCATAATTCCTTACCATTAAGACACCAGAGCGCCTATAAAGAAAGTAAGCTTGTTTTAAAAATAGGTTTCCCATTTCAAAAATGAAATTAATAGACGATACTGATCTTGAACAAGGAAGGAGTGTGGAATTTTCCATATAGAACTGCTCATCTGTTGTCTGGTTAATGGCAATAAAAATCTAGACATAAATTATAAAGTAATGAAACATTTGTTAGATAGCTTCAAGTAACTGTAAGATTTATCAGTAGCCATGAGTGGTTTCCTGGGAAAGTCTGGGTCAATAATCAAATGAATTGAATTTTCTCTTTGGGCTTCAACTTCTCTGATAGGAAATCATCAGTGCCCAGTCCATTCCTACTGTCTATATAAGTGACTTATCCATCTCCCCTCCTTCCTCCCTCCCCCTCCCCTTGTGAGTTAACTGTTCCTTACTTAGCCTCTTAAATTCTTGGACTTTTAACATCCTCTTGAGGGATAAAAATAATATGAAACTGGAACTTTGATCTTGGCTGTACCAAAGCCATCTCAGTGGTTATGAGCTTCCCACTTTCCTGGATCTTGCTTCCTAGTATGTACAATGAGAAATCTTAGATACATTATTGCTGAGGGAACTCCTAGCCCTGATTATTCTGCCCTTCCTTCTCCCCGCCCCATCCCTGGTGGCACAGTGGGTTGAAATAGATCTTTAGACCAGTGGTTATTGGTTTACCACTATCATCTCCACCCTCTTTTGTCAGTTGGTGGAAAAGCACTTTGCAACGCCCCCCAATACTGTCAACTCTTTAGCCTCTACTGCCCTCACCTCTGCAAAAGCAAAGGTAGTGTTACTGTAACACTTTTTGCTCTTTCTGAAACATAAGATTCAAAGTTGCCCTTTTCTGATTCTCTTTTCTCTTTCTGCTACTTTGCTGTTTGTTCTAACTTTTGTCTCACCAGTGGAGCTGACATCGATTTGCCTGCTACCCTAGGATTATTGAATTGAAATTTTCTAGGAAGCAGTGGACCAGATCTGATTTAACAAAGTGATGGCTCTAATAGAAATTTGTGAGCTTGGGAAATACAGTAGAATAGAATTGAATGACTTTGAAGAGCCCTTTAATGCATGCTTAGGAATGAATACCTCCCTCCCGCCCCCAGTGAATGTCCCCCTGTGGATCTACGGATCACCTAGGAAGAATACTGGAGTATTGTTTTGCTTTTGAGCTTTCCAAATAGTAGTTAATTCTTTAAATGTCAACAGTTTCACTTACAGCCCCCTCACACACATGCTACACACATATACCTCTCTCCCTCTTCTCTACCCCCAGTGCTGACTCTAGCACACTCTCCCCTCAGTGCCAGCCCTAGTTTATCATACTCTCTGGATCTGCCAAAGTTCGTTACACTTTATTAAACATGGTGCAAATCAAGGAACGTCGTCCTGCACACTAGAACCGAGGTGCGATTGGCTTGGAAAAGACTCCTTAGAGTGACAATTTCACTCTGACGGTAGCTCAGGGTTAACACTGACCATCGCCTTTTAAATCCTGGGGGGTGGGAGGGGAATCAGTTATTGTTATGATGAAAACAACCAGGAGGGGTGGTGGTGGCAAGGATAAGAAAAGCCACAGATACAAGTTGAGCCAGGCAACGTGGCGCTTAGGGCAGCAGCAGACCAGA